GTCCTCTGCGGGTCCTGCCGTGGCCTTGGGAGCAGAGGGAAGCGAGGACAGGGCTCCTGCTCCCCCTGCCACCCGACTTTGGGCTCAGCACCTCCGTGACAGCACCCCTGTTCACACAGCACGTAAAATGTTCCATCTTCCCCTCTGACTAATAAGGACTTTGCCACAGAAAGTGACTGGAAATACATTATACATGAGACACAGTTTCTGAACTGGTTGCAAGTGTTGTTCCAGGATATTTTTACTTCTCTTCAAACAATCCCTTCAGGGGTGAACTAACCTAACAAGAAGTTAAATGGAAATAGAAAAGAGTCTTGAAGGACTCCACTGGGCCCCATCTTAACAAGCCAGCCCAGGACAGAGCCCCCTCGGCCCTCTGTGGCTTCAGGGTCTTATATCTTCCCTTGAAACAGCCGAGCGATGTTACCGGAGCTCAGGTCCACACGGTGCATGTTTCAGAAAACCAACAATTTCCCCAATTTGGGGATTAAAAATGTGGATTCTGATCAGACCTGTCTTCAGATTCCAGCTCCACCGACCTGGGAAGCTTGAGACCCCGGAGGTAAACGTCTCCACGCCCTAGCTTCTCGTCTATCAAATGGGGCTCCAGTTCATTCTTTTAAAGGCAAACAGTGGTCACTCAGGAAATGTAAGCAGCTCTCAGACCCGTCACGCTTTAGACACCCTCCAGCCAACAGAGAATTCAGATATGGAAGATTTCTGAGTCAAGGATGGCATGTCTACGGTCACTGAGTTTGCGTGCCCCTTTTCACTGCATTACGTCTCTCAAATAAAATACACCACTCCCTCCAGAACCCCGCAGGAAGAACTGCACCAGCCACCAAAAAGGCTGGAAATCAAGTCAGTCCCTTATGGCAGGGATTAGAGAAAAAGGACCATCTTCACTCTTCTTCCAAGTAGCTAATGCATGACAAACATTGTGATCCCAAGCGATGTGGGTCTTTCTCTCGGTTCCAGTCCATTAATGCATTAAGTAGCCTCCTCTGAGGTCAAAGAAATGAGGGCAGAGTTTGAAGCCTTCCATTTATAAATGTGTAGAGTCAGCAAACGGCTGATGTCTACAGGCACAGGACACAATCACTTTTTTAAAAAAGAATCTCCCCCTTATGTAAGTAGCACATGCTTACAGCGTCAGTGAGCCATTGCCTTAATAATACTGCATAACAAATCATTCCTAAATTCAGTGATAATCAGTCATACTTGCTCGTGCATCTAAAGGTCGACTGGGGGTCACCAGATCCAGTGGTTGTGGCTCTGAGCTCCAGGTACGCTGGGGTCTGCCTCTCAGGCTCCTTGCACCAGTGGGTTGGCCTTGGTGGTGTCAGAAGTTCAAGACAGCAGGGACACCCAGGACTCTGAAGACAGCAGCACACATGGCCGGCCCAACATGAGTGTGGGGGAGGGGAACTGCGCAATCACATGGGAAGGTCATGGGTACAGGCAGGGCTAGCTTCAGGGACGGGACCCGTGCAGACACACATGACCCCACTGACACAGGAGAGGGGGAAGAATTGGGAGCAACAGTGTGATCTTCCTACTCGCCAAATGCGCTCTGTGCTGAAAACAGGTCCTAGCCGCTCCCCACCTCCTCCAACCCTGCTGGCGGGACCTCATCGTGGTCCCAGGGGACCTGGGATTCACAGCATTCAGGTGTACCTCACCCCATGCCACTGTCTCCGGCCCCGCAGGTGTGTTTCAGGTAAGTATGAAGGGGGAGGGGCACAGGTGGTCACTAGTGGTAACACGCGTGGCCTTAAAACCACCCTGTTCTTTCCAGATTAAAACCTGGCACACCCGCCCCCTCCCACCAGCCTGATTATACCCCAGGGAACTCGACGCCCCAGCCCCCCAGCCCCATCCACTCCTCCTCCTCCTCCATGTCCCAGGGCAACTGCTCAATGGAGTGGGGGAGAATTATCCACCCTCCAGGGATTTTTAGAACCACAAATATCAGAAACCCACAGCGTGGTTGGAGATGCGCTTGTGGAGTTTGGGGGGCAAGTTGGAGATACACCTAAGTGTCAAAGCCAGAAGGGACATCCCAAATTCTGCCGCTGAGTCCCTTCCCCCTCGGGCAGGCTCAGCCAACACAAAACTGTCACAGACTGTTGTCTGACTTGGCCCGAGGAAGGTGACATTTCATGGGCCCCCGGGGACAACCAAGTCCAGGCTCTGATGAGCCCCGCTCATGAAGCCCGCTGCCTCTCACACTCCTGCCAACCTCGGTCTCCATATCAGCTCCTTCCCTCCAACCCTTTCCTAAAGCTGGAGACACAGCTGCCCCCCTCCCCTGGCAGGTCAGCCTCCTCCCCCCAGGAGCCTGTGATGAGTCCGGCTCCCAAGCTGTCCTCCACCACGACCCATGGAGCCCGCGTCCCGCTCCAGCGGGAGAGCAGCATGTGAAGTGGCTCTTGCCACGGAAAATGAATCCCACACGTACATTGACACGAGAATCCTACAGTTCAGACAATTACCCGGAGAACACATTTTCTGATAATTAGAGAGCTAAAAACGGATCCACTTTGAAAATCCCTTCCTTCCTCCCCAGAAAGCTGAGGAGGTGGTTTAGCAACATCAGACGCGGAGATACATCACATTCTGGGTGTTTGGGGGACAAGTTCCAAGAAATTTCTTGGAAGGTATATTTCCCAGAAGGTGGCGAGGCTAACCAGACCTGCTGGCCCTCCCCACGTCCCCGGCAAGGGCTCCAGCTGGGGAGGCCACCGGCCGTGGGCCACCTCACCTGCCTCGGCACTGGGCATGCACCCAGGGGTGTCACAGGGCACTCCCGGCAGCCACCAAGAGTCAGGTGACACGAGGCGTGGGGCAGCTCAGAGGCGCACACACCTGTATCCTCTGGCTGAATCTCAGAGCAGGTGCACAGGGAGGGCTCTGTTCTCACCGCCCCCGAGTTAGAGTTGCACCGAGGGCTGGATGGATAATCAGGGGCAGGGGCAGCCTCCGGTCACAGCAGAAGCCTGCATACCCCACCGCCTCTCCCGTGGAAGGGCTCAGAGCTGGCAGGGAGCAGACGCAGGTCAAGTTACCGCATAGACCCCAAGGAGGGCAGCAGGAGCGGACAGGGTAGGAGAAGCTGTCAGTTAGGGACCTGCCGGGTCGATGGCAAATGCAATAAAGAGTTACATGTGATTTTAAAAATACAAATCTGATGTAAGTAGTAAATGTAGTAAAATATAGTAAATGTACATGTTTCAGGCTCTGTTCTCAAGCAGCACAGGACACGCAATCGGGAACAGCTGTGATACCTAAGAACTTGAAGTCAGTGTTTCCTGTCCTCATGTGTCTACCATGGGCCCTCCTCCCTGATGTTTCCCGCTAACAAGGAACAGCATCTGCATTCACCAGACAGAGGCCATGGCATGGCAGGGAAGGACCACATGAAAAGGACAAGAAACCAAAAAAGGTACTTGGAGTGTGTTTCCTGGAACAAAATGCCTCCATCTACTGTTGACAGAAACTTATGCAAACTGTATGTAAATTTGCAAATGGTAACGCTAATTCCCGCCCAGCCTCTGTTCTTTCATGGCCTCGGCTTTGACCTTGGGCTATAAGGAGGAGCCTGGCCCAGGCAGCCACTTGCCACACTGTTCAGCCAGAGTCAGTGCTGAAGGATGAGCCAGACTCATGAGATGGGTATGGATTATACCCTGCAGGAGAATCCGGGAGGCATATTCAGGACAGAAGGAGGGGAGGAATCGTGACAGACACTTAGGGGTCAGACTGGAAGCTAAAGGGGTTACTGGTGTCCAAGATATGATGGGGGAAAATAACTGACAAATTCATGAATTGCCCTTAAAACCAAATGTCATGTGTTCTCTTACATCATCCTCTACTCTGGATTGCTAATATTTTTCACATGTATTTTCCTTATCTGACCACCTCTCCCTGCTGCAACCCACCAGCTGGGGAACTCTACCGCACCAAGGGTCCAGGAAAACATGAATGGACAAGTAAGTAGCTGGGAAAATAAGTAACTGCTTCATTAAGCTCGTTCCTCCCATGAAAGGCGCCATTATGGAAGTAGAGAAAAAAATTCAACAGAGCGTGGTTATTGTCCTCCATTAATGTTGGCAGAGTAGTTGTTTCTCTCCTATTCACCTAAGCCTCTGGGTTGACGGGTGGCTTCCCCATGTCCCATGTGCTTTGGACAGAGACTGGGGATGTCCTTTGGTTCCAGGCAATGGGCTCTGCTTCCTCGACCTGCCAGCAGCTGTTCCCCGCACTTTGCCACAGAAAGCAGGCACGGGCCTGACTGGGGAGCGGCAGTCGCTCTGCCGCAGGGCCTCCCTGGTTATGTCACAGAGGCGTGGTAAAAACCAAGTGTGAGTTGCACGTGCACACGTGACCATGCGTGCACATGTGACCATGCGTGCACACATGACCGTGCGTGCACACGTGACTGTGCATGTACATGCAGGCTTCCCAGACACACTTAGGGCCACTGTGACTGACCACCCATCCATTCACAACAACTCTCCCAATGCTTGGCTCCCCCTTCGACAACACTTCCCGTCCCGGTTGTAAAACACTCCCAGTGACACTGTCCATACAAAGCTGAGTGGGAGGCTGAAACCTCAAAGGAAACCCACCATCTAGTTTAAAACTTCCCTGAGCGCAGCGCCAGCCAGGAACAAAGGCTCCGAGGGAACCTGAGCTGGAAATGTCATCCATCATCACATGAAAGAAAAGAACCTCTAAGTCCAACCAGAGGGCACCTGCAAATATCCAGCACTGCCTGTCACTTTGATTGATGGCCACCCTTCTAATGAGCTCCTTTTATCTCTGGAGGTTTCCAACCAACATAAGGCTCCCTTGCTCCCCCCACCCCCTCCCCTGCCATTTGCCTTTTTGGGGAGACAGAGCCGGAGCAGGCACTGAGCCTCACTTGCCCCTTCCACTGGGTGACCAGCCATGCCCATGGGACCATCCATCCCCAGGCGTGGAGCTCCCGCACTGACCTTTCTCAGGAGGAAGCAGATGCGCTCGATGTTCCTCAGCCGTTCCCTCTATCGGGGTGCACAGGAAAGAAGAAGAGGGGAGGTTAGATGCTCTGCTGAAGGAACGTGAGCAGCCCCCACAGTCAGCCCCCTGGGAGAGGAGGCAGAACCCCCCTGAGGCCTGCAGGCTCCCACCCAGCAGCTCCTAACCAGAGTTTTTGCTCATAGCACTCAATAGCAAAACCAACAAACAACAACAACAACCAAAAAACACAAATAATCCAAATGAAAATGTGCAGAGGATCTGAACAGGTATTTTTCTAAAGAAGACATACAGCTAGCCGCAGGTACATGAAAAGGTGGTGGTCACCGACAATCAGGGAAATGCAGATCAAAACCGCAGTGAGCGCTCACTTCACGCTTGTCAGAATGGCTGTTACCCACAAGACAAGAGACAACAGGTGCCGCTGAGGATGTGGAAGACAGGGGACCCTCATGTGCTATTGCTGGGAATGGAAATTGGGGTGGCCGCTATGAAAACATTCGGGAGGTTCCTCAGAGAGTTAAAAAACAGAACTACTGTATCATCCAGCAATTCTACTTCCAGATGTCTCCCTGGAGGAGATGAAGTCACTGTCTGGAAAAGGTATCTGTACCTCTGTGTTCGTGGCAGCAACATTTATAATGGCCTGAGCGTCCCTGGATGCACGAATGGGCAAGGAAAATGTTGTGTATGTATACATAAATACACACCATAGCGTACTACATTACAGTAGACTCTCACACTCACGGTACGCACACAAGAATATTACTCAGCCATAAAAAGAAGGTAATCCTGCCATTGCCAAGTGGACCCTGAGGGTTCAGTCAGCGAAATAAGCCCGAAAAAAACAAGTACCCTATGATCTCGCTACTACATGGAATCTAAAAACAAAACAAAACAACAACAAAGCAAACTCACGGAAAAGGAGATCAGATGTGTGGTTATGAGAGACAGGGAGCAGGGGAGAGAGAACTGGATGGAGAGGGTCAAAGGTACAAACTGCCAGTTAGAAGACAACAAAGACCTCGGGACGCCCTCGAGGCTGAGTCAGCCCTCCTGGGAAGACCGCCCACTTTCTCCAGAGCACAGATTAGAGTCTAAGGTAAGGGAAGTTCTCTGCCATTGAGTCTATTTTTCTAAAGTGAGGGCATTTAGAGGAAGGAATCATCCCACTAAATTAGACACCAACAGTGCCCCCAGGCTAAGAGGTTTCAAGACATCGAAGTCCATCCTCGGAACCTGGCTCAGGGCTGAGAACAGGAGCCCTCGGCCAGGCGAGAGGAGATGGTCACGTCACACACACAAGGCATGCCTCTGCCCTTTTCCCGCAGTGACTTTCTTGTTTTCCAAAGCCCCTCTGAGCACAGCTGCGGCGTCTGCCAATGCTTCATTACAAGGCAATTTGGTGACCATGGACGTGATGCTAATGAACTTGCTCACGGATCTGAAGAAGACAGGTGGCTGGGCCACTTGAGCTTCCCTAATTGAATCATACCGTGATTCCTGTGCATCTATTAAGCCCTGAGGAAAGAGCCCACATCAGGACAAATTAGTGTCCCCATGGCTAGGAAGACAGACCATGTCCTCTGCAACAAACCCCATGTGTGTCCACACGCATGTGCACATGCAAACCCCACACACCACTGGGCATTGAGGCCGCCTACATGGAGAGTAAGGGGAAAGGTGTGAGGGGCCAGGCATGGATAGGGAATGCACTAACTCCCCGCAGGCTAGTCGTCTGGTGGCTCCCCTTACTTGACAGGGATACTAAAGGGTCCGCTGGTAAAGGTAGGGGAAGGGCTGAATGAGAAGCTAGGAGTAAAACAAGGCCCTCCTCCTTCCTTTCAACTCCTGGAAGGAGGTCCACCCCAACGGCCCCACAAGATTTGGAGCTCTAGGGGGTCTCCGACCCAGAGAGCCGGTGGGCCTGGGGCTCACGTGTAGAGCAACTGTTTGTAAGCTAAGTCCACCTAAAGCGGGGTCACCAACTGGTGTGGTAGCTTCTCCAAGCCACCTGAGACGGAGACGCAGATTCAGGGGCTCTACGGAGCCCAAAGACCTTGCACATGAATTAATGAGGCATCCAAAGTACTTAACTTCCTGCTGGGGATGAAATCGTAAGAACCAAGAAAATAAGTCTGCTATTCTTCCATGGAGGGTTTTAACGGATTTTTTTAGAGATCTTGGAGAAGAGTCCTTTCCCAGGGAGACTTCGGTCTATCCATGGCTGGCAGGGTCCAAGCTTCTTGATTAAGTCATTACCCAGTTAGAAGTGTGGCTTTCATGATAAGAGTGAAGAGCTGAGACCCAGCCTTCGTGTTACAGTGCATTCTCCCTACTGTGAGCACGAACTGTGTGCAGGCCGAGCGCCTACTGTGTGCAGGCTTCGTTCCTGCAGTGACCTTCCCCAGAGGCATGCATGTCAGTCCTATATTCTCCACTCCGTCGGAACGACAGAACTTGCCATGGCCGGAGGGACGAGGCTCCACAAAGCCATCTCTGGTTTCGCCGATCGCCTGGGCTGAATTGGAAGGACAGAATGGAGCAGAGGACGCGTGTCTGTGCTAGTGTGTGCCTGGGCTCATTCAAGAAAGCCCTGGGTGTATTTGGTGAGCTCCTCTGAACCCGCCTGTCTAGGAGGAGGGAAAGCAGGCTCCCTCAGACTAGAGCAGCTCGGGACACCTGGTGGGGACCAACGGGCCAGGTGTGTGACACTGGTGCCAAAAACTAAACATCCAGGAAGAAATGAGACCAGGGGAGGGGGTTACCCTTCAGGCCTGGTGCTACCAAGTCATCACAGGTGGGTGATGGGGAGACCGGCAGATGGAAACAAAATGGATTTTAATGCCAAGTACATGTCACGAAGCCTAAGAAGTTTTCAAGTGCATCTTAGAGATTCTTGCAACTTGCCACAAATTTCAGCTTCACACCGTCAACTTTGAAAGGCTTTGGCTCTATTTCACAGAACTAAAGAATCTGATGCCCAAGGATTATAAAATCAGGCATTAGAAAATCAAATGTTTGAAAGAGACAACATTGAGGAGGCAGGTGGTAAGAACACGGGCTCTGGGGACAGGCAGACCTCCAGTCCCTGGCCCATTCATTGGAAGTAGGGTCCTCCTCCTGTTCCTGCCAAGGCTGCTTTCCCTGTGCACTCCAGGGCACACGGGGACAGCAGCCAGATGGAATGGTCAGATCAGCGCATGCTGAGCTTGGGGCCAAGGACCAGACAGCATCAGATTCCCCAGTGGGAGGCAAGCTGACCTCAGGATCACAGAGCCTCTCGAGAGGAGCAGCGGATATGGACATGGGCCCAAGGTCTCTGTACATCCACCCACTCTGTGTGTCTCCCTCTGAGAGACCAGGCCAAGCGCAGCGGGCAGAGAGCCGCTAAGGGTCCCATACCCTGCCAGCAGGCTGGCCGACATGGAGCCTTTTTCCTTATTCAAGATGAATAACCAGAAACACCAGCACGAGGCCTTGAAGACTCAACCGTCAGAGCACAGCAGACCTTTCGCACCTGGCTTCCTGGGATCAAAATATTTCACTTTGTAAGATGCAATGTTGGGACCTGGTGGACCTCAGGAATGAGAGGGGTCCCCAACGGCCCTGAGTCAGGAGTGGAGGCACTTTACCCACTCCCCCCATCAGAACATCCCTCCTCCATGGGCCCTGGCAACCCACCTGGACACCATCCTGCACCCCGCTGACACCCGCTACTTACCGCGTGAACGGGGTTACACTGGTCTATGGGGCTCTTAAAATCCGTCCTTAACTCATCGAAGGCAATGATCTGAAATGGAACGCGCAGAACCAAGAAGTTAGTGCAAAGGTGAATCAGTGCACCACGTCTCCCTGTAGATTTGCTTCAAAATGATATAGGAGGCAGGAAGAAGGTACCCGTGACCTAAGAATGGCCAGGAGGTGGTTGCCGTCAAAGCTGGTGATGGATACCTGGGGCTGATGGTCCTCCTGGGTTTTCTTCATATGCTTCGAACTCCCCGAAGTAGGGAAAGGGCAAGATACTGTTCAAGGGCACGCACCTGCCATGAGGAGACAAGGAAGTCCTACAGACCTAACGCATCCACCCACTGTTGTGTGTGTAACGCACACACACAACACTGTACTCTAAACCTTAAACTGACCAAGAGAGGAGCTCTTAAGTGATAACTATGTGTGGGGACAGAGGGCAGCTAATCCTACAAGGGGAACCTTTCCACAACATTCCTGTATCAAATCGATACATTGCATACTTAAACTTACACAATGTTTCAAGCTAAAGGTATTTATCTCAATGGTTGTGAAGGCCCCAAGGCTTCACAGGCTTCCCGTGCTTTACAAAGACATGGAGCAAACTCCATTACGGTGACGGCAGGTGCAGGTGTGGATAAAGGCACAAGAAATTCAAACTTCAAGCTGGCGCTTTCCACTTCTCTCCTTGCATGAAGAAGCTGTTTATTTTCTATTTGTGTTTATTTTGGCAGAGATGCTGACTGGAAGTGAGACGGACAGAAGGCAGGACAGAGGGAGAAAAAAAAGGCAAGAAAGCAGGGTCGATGTCAACAGAGAGAACCCGACCTCCAGCAGTCCACGGGCTGGACAATCAGCCCTGAGCAGTCCCATCTTCACAGACGGGTCACTGGATGTGGGTCCTCTGCTTCATTCTGGACTCACAGCTCGCCAGAGAGCACCGGCATGGAGGACAGGTGTCTCTCGTCTCACCAACACAGGGCTCAGAGTAAGTACTCAGTGGAGGAAACAACCTAGTTCCCAGCACAAAGCAGGTGTAATTTTAAAGCAATCACATGTCATCCTGGTTTCAAAACTCCTCCAGAATTCGGGGGAAATTCTAGTATAACCTGTAGTAAGTAGATGTATTTCTGCCTTACCCCTGTCCTTGAACAGTTAGTGACAAGAACACACCTCTCACTGAGGGGGCTCAGGCCGTTCCTGGCTCCCTCTAATTAATACTGTCTCCCTTTCTCGCACTTACATAGGACTCCCTGAAGATCCCGCCCACATCCTAAGCCTGAGTCAGCAAACTACAAAGCCAAATCCAGCCCAACACCCATTTTTGTCCAACCTGGGAGCTAAGAATGGTCTTTATGCCTGTCAAGTCATTGAAAAAAATCAAAAGAAGAATATTTCGTGACATGTAAAAGTTATATTCAAATTTCAGTTGCCATAAATAAAGTTTCATTAGAACACAGATGCATTCATTCTTTGCTATACCCTGTGCATTTTCCCACTACAATGGGACAGTCCAGTTGTTGCAACAGACACTATATGCTCAACAAAGCCCAAAATAGTTACTTTCTTGCCCTTTGCAGAAAAAAACTTGCCAACTCCTAGTCTACTCTTATTTTCCCTCAATAGCCTTACCATCCAAGAAGGTAGCCACATTAAGCCATTTAAATTTTAATTTTAGCTAGGTCAATTAAAAAATTCAGCTTCCACATTTTATTTGCTCAAAAACCACATCTGTTTGGTAGCTACTAAATGGTACAGACACAAAATATTTCCATCATCACAGGAAGTTCTGTTATATAACTCTGCTTTGGAGACATATAGGATAAGTCAAATCGCTTGTAGCACAAGGAATGCCCTTAAGTGTTGTCGGCTATCCTGAACCTGGCAAATCTTTGTTCTTTAAGCTAACTCTCTCCAACCTTTCTATAAACTGGCACTAAGCTGTCTCGTCATCCTGGTTGCCCTCTGCTGGCGTTAGGGGTTGGAAATGTCCATACTAAAATGTGACTGTCAAAAATAAGTGCCACATTCAAGATGAGGTCAGCTTAGCACAGAGAGCAAACATATCACCTCCTCTGTTCTGTAACCTATGTCTCTGTTAATGCAGCCTGATAGCATTAGCTTTTTTGTTTCTATATCATAGCCCTGGCTTCATTCTGACCTTGCACTGCCTAAAAGCCCCAGATCTTTCTCATGGGCTCATTAAACTCAGTTTAATAATTCACATTGTTCTGTATGCACATTGTTGGATTTGAAGGCCTAAGAGCAAGAACCAAACTTTATCCCTCTTTATCCCTCTTCCTCCCTCTTTGGTTTGGTCCATCAGTCCAGTCTGCTGAGATATGATCTATCTCCCAAGCACAAATCCTAATGAACCTAATGTCCTCGATATGCACATCCACATTCACCCAGACACAGGTGCAAACTGATCAGAGACCAGGGCAGAGCCCGAAGTTCGCCCTTCCTTGCTCCCACGAGGTTGGCATCAGCAACCCTTCAGCCTTTTATTTATCCAATTACACAGACAATTCACCATATTTTGATCCAGAAACCTAAAATCAGTCCCCAGATGGCTTTAGAACCCCATAACCATTGGTGTTCCACATACCAGCCCAAAGAGGCAGGGAGCCCAGGAGGAAATGAGTCAGACCCTGAGCTGTAGCTGTGACTGTCCAGGTCCCATCCCGCCCCAACCCGGTGCAGGGGCTGGGAGGGGAGTCTGGAGTGAAGGTGCGTGAAGGATGGGGAGGGACCCTGGGGACTCTGAGCTGCTGAGTGCGTCTGAGAGCCAGGGCCAGGCCTGGAGGAAGGAGTGAAGAAAGGAGTAAGCTCTGAGTACGACTTCAGCCCCAGAGCTCCGTGACACAGCAGGCACTCGGCAGTGTTTCCTGGGCCAGTGCTGGCACTGGGCACAAGGAGGACAGAGGCTTCAGCATCCCCGCCTCCCGGAACCACTCACGAATCCATGCATCGCTCACGTGACAACTTGTTTGTTTATTACATGCTCGTCACACCAGGGCCCTGGGCTTCAAGTGCACGCTTCTGATTGTTTAACCTTTGGCCACCCAGTGAAGTAGGTACTATTATTGTCCCTGTCTTAGAGGCCAAGAAGCTGAAACCAAAAGTAGTTACAGTCCTCGCCCAAGATCACTGCTCTGGCCCCAGGATTCACACCAAGACCTCTCTTGACGCTGACCTCCGGGCAGTTAGCTTTACAAGGCTCTGCCTCCCAAGACACATGGAGGGAAGGAAGCGGGATCCCAAGGACATCCAGAATAAGCAACTGTGTCTGTGGAATGAAAGCAAACTTCCAGGGGCTCCTGGAGGGGCTCAGTCGGTTAAGCGTCCAACTCTTGATTTCAGCTCAGGTCCTGATCTCAGGGTCGTGAGATCGAACCCAGCATCAGGCTCCAAACTCAGTGCAAAGTCTGCAAGAGATTCTCCCTCTCCCTCTGCCCCTCCCCACCCAACTCTCTCTCTATAAGTAAATACATAGAATCTTAAAGGAAGAAAGAAGAGAAGAGAAAAGAAAGGAAAGAAAAAGAAAGCTTCCAGAACAGGTGAGGGTTAGGTCACCCTCTTCTTAGCACTCATTCATGGTCTCCCAGCCCCCACCTCCTGAGCGCTCAGGTCCGAGCCTGGGAGACACAGGTGGTGCGGTGGGCATGGCCCTGTGCATGCTGTGTGTTTAACTTCCTAAGGAGCCAAGAAACTGCTTTCCCAAGAGGCTGTACCACCTCAGCGCACCGCCCCCCAGCAATGAGTGAGAAGCTTGGCATTCTTGCCAGCCCTGTGTCAGCTTGGATGCCTTCTACTTCAACCATTTCCATGGGTGTGTAAAGGTGTCCCATTTTGTTTTAATTTGCATTTCTCCAATGACTAATCAGAGATGTTGAGCATCTTTTCATGGGCTTAATCACCCCCTGTATGCTTTCTTTGGTGAAGCATGTGCTCAGATCATTTCCCCATCTTTTTGTTTTTAAGCTGTTTTCTTATTGATGATTTTTGAGAGCTCTTTATATATTCTGGATGCAAGTCCTTTGTCAGATATATGATTTGGCAATATTTTCTTCTGCTGTGTGGACTGTCTGTCCATTCTTAGTAGCATGTTTCTCAGAGCAAATGTCTTCTTACCACTTCTCAGTTTATCCAATGTATCTCTTTCTCTTTTACTGATCAGACTTCTGGTGTTGGATCTAAGAACTCCTAAGGCTATACAGATATTTCTGGTTTTTTCCTAAATAGCATTTTATTTATGGGAAGGTTATGATTTTCTAAAGATTTATTTAGAGAGAAAGACTGTGTGCACAAGATGGGAGAGGGGCAGAGAGAGAGGGGGCGAGAGTCTCAAGCCCATGCCCCACTGAGCATGGAGCCTGACGCCGAGCTCCATCTCACAACCATGAGATCATGACCTGAGCCGAAATCAAGAGTTGGACGCTTAACCGACTGAGCCACCCAGATGCCCCTCTTTATGGGAAGGTTTATTAAGATACAACTTCAATTTCTGAAATAGATGTAGGACTATTTGGGTCAACTCGAGCTCTGAGAGTTTGCAGGAGCTGGCCCATTTCATCAAAACTGTCATGTTTACAGGCTGCACTCGAACTCAGGGGCCCCCCTGGCTGTTTCAATTTCTCTCGTAGGCCATCTCCTCTCCTTGTTTTCTCACCAAACTTGAGACAGAGGTTCCAATGAGCATAGACAAAGGCTGGAAAGGGCAGCCACAGATGAGCAGGGACAAAGCTAGAAGAGCGGTTCTCCCACCGGCCGAGGACCAGGGACTCTGGAGACCCAGGCTGCCTGGGGCCTCGCTGGGCTGGGCCGGGCAGACAGGGCAGAAGCAAGGCCTGGGGTGGAAATCGGAGATTTGCCGGAGACAAGAGGGAGACAGGAGGTCAGATGCCAGGACCTGGACGTGTGCCGAGCTGGAGGCTCAGGAGAAGCCGAGGCAGGCCGGGGGAGTCTGCAGGCAAGTCAGGAAGAAAGGGGGTCACAAGCAGAGGAAGCACGTGGTGTGAGGCTATTTCTGTGAACACCGAG